CCAAGTCCCATTGCACTGAAAGAGAAATCGACTTAGCAAGATATTTGATTTGATATTTGATACATAATATTTTTTTTTTATAAGAGATACATAATAAATTTTGGTTCTTACCATTTGAAATTATTTTCAAATTCATTATAAACGAAATCGATTAGTAGTACTCCGGTTTTAATTAGTTGGCAATCAAGCTAAATGTAAGATTGTATTTATAGACGTTTGACGTCGTAGAATCATGCGGATGACAAATGGTTTTACTTAATTACAAATTTTCACTGTATCCATCTAACATCCAATCCATTAACACAAGTTCATCCGTAAACACCTTGGATGACAAATGGTGTGTGAGGACTGAGGAGGATAGCAAAATCCTCTAGTCGGACATGATCTATGGCTCCATCGATCTCCATAGTCTCGTCCCCTTGCTCTGCGAACAGACACATATTGTGCTATACGAACAGTCTACAGGAAGGCTACATTTGTTTTAGAAGATTCTACTAGCTAGCTAGCTAGGCTAGCTATCTATAGCTGATGATTTTTCTTTGTTTCCTTTTGTCTTACCTCATTGTTGTCTAGTGAAGGACAGAACATATATCAGATGGTGCTAAGAAGATTCCACCTCGTAAATATTATTTTTAATATACATATACACATAATTCTAAAATACAAGAACTACCAAAATTAGATCTCTTGTCCATTTCCGAAAATTCATTTTGCAAAAACACCAAACAGCTCCTAACACACTCTCATGCAACGTTGCGCATATTAAAGTTTAGAAAACTCCGTTCGGATATAGTCGTCATATCGAACGAAGTTCATACAATCCTCTTGAACCCAATCCAACCTAGCCGCGAAAGAATTAACCTCCGTCGGTTGAGGATAACGGTCAATGCAATCTCGCCATACGTCGTCGTCTTCTTCTTCCCCGCCACCCTGCAATAAGTCTCTGTTGACCTTCCAAACACACGTGTTGCACATGTACCCAGCTCCCATGGTCACCATCAACACCTTCTCCCCTTTCTTCAGCCTCCTCTTTGCTTCCATGTAACCCAACACGTACCAAAGACTACTCCCCGAAGTGAACCCGAATCGATGGAGCGTCATTCTAGAAGGCTCCACGTCACGTTCCTCGAGCCCCAGCCCGGTTCTAAACCCATCGATAGTAGCCCTCGTGGTTGGTTGCAGGCAGAAATGATGGATCCCGACTTTCATATCGATCATTAATTTTCGTCGTGGACGACGACGACCTAGCCTCGAGAGCATCAGCAGCACCGCGAAACGTAGGGTTTCCCAAAACGGGAGCACCTTGGGGAGAAGAACCCTAAAATTCTCCATCAAACACTTCCTCGCTACTTTTTCCATCGTTAGGGCTCCGACGTGGAACCCTGCAAGGCCATGGTCGTCCTCCACTTTGAGGAAGCAGTTGTAGGACTCGTCGCTGGGGTCGTGGGTCCGGACCAGAGCCACGAGCTCCAGCATGGCTCGGTCCCTGTAGTTCGAGTTGTTGGTCAGGAGGATTGATGTGCCTCCGGTTCGATAGAAGAGGTTGGGGAGAATCATAGACCTATCACTGCCGCGGTAAAAGTGGGACCCAAAGGCTTCGGCGCTAACGACGATCGCGAAGGCGTTGGGTTGGGTGTTGAGTAGGTTTCGCGCCATGTCGATGCCGATGATGCTGGAGGTGCACCCCATACCGGCCAGACTGTATGACTTGATTCCTTGCTTCATCTTGTACCGATTCACAATCCGACCTGGCAACAGCGAATTCAGGACTTAGAGCGAGGAAGGCCGAACAACAACAACAACAAAAGTGTAACAACTTTTTATTACACAACCTTGATTAGTGAAAGATCGATAGTCCACCATCCTACTATGACAAACATATTATAATCTTGGAACAAATATTTAGAAAGTTATAAACTTTCCTAAAGTAAACTACGTGTAGCTCTGTCTCTACCAACCTGAGAGAGAAGGGGTACGAACAGAAAGCAGATGTCATTGTGAATATTCAAAATGTTGTAAACTCTCGTAAACCAAAAACTACATGTAGCTCCGTCTCTACCAACCTGAGAGAGATGGGGTATGGGCAGAAAGCGACGTCGTTGTGACGAGGATGTCGATCTGAGAAGGAGAGATTCCCGACTTGGCAAAGAGCCGATCGAGAGTGTCGAAGACGATGTCGTCCATCTCCTGGAGTGCAACCTCGAGCGTCGTAGGGGATGGAGTTGTCGTCGTTTTTCTGCCGCCTTCGAGTATGCTTCTGGGACAGTACGTCTCTTCTCCAAGCCCTAAACCGACCATGGACTTCTGGAGGTACCGATGGTCTTCGAGGTTGAGGTTCTGGTTCCGGAGGAGGATCTTCAACGCGGTTGCAGTGCTCAGCTTTAGCTCGTCTGGAGGTTTGTAGCACTGGTAAGCAAGCATGTAACAGTTTTGGTTTGAGTATAAGTGGTGTACAAATTTGGAGAGCAGCTGGAACATGGAATAGAGGACGACTGGTAACGAAAGAGTAACAATGGTTGCTAAAATGAGCTCCATGAAGAAGAAGAAGAAGAAGCAGAATGATCGGCCTGCTAGATGAAGAAGGCCTTGAAAGCTCGTAATAATACATGGGGGAGGTTGTTAAATGGTCATCAATCATCACGTAACTTTCATTTCCATTTTCTTATGACGTAGCTCACATTGTTCACACACCGACGACATATGGAAAAAAGAGAATATAATTTGATCACGTATTTGTCAAATCGTAATCAAGGAAGGTATTGAGCAACCAATTTCACACGTAAAAAATATGATTTCATTGAAGGTATTTTCCTGGATAAATAATAAAATATCAAAGACGGTGTACAATATTTATCTAGAATTGTGGCTGGGCTGGAATTGGAGTAGTGGAAATGTTGGACAAATTAGAACGGAGTTGCCTGTCAAAATTTAATGGCGCGAATGGACAAACGAAAGTGATTGCTAAATCTATTGAGGGTGATCCGATCCAACAATTGCATATAACTCCACAGGGGGTGTATGTATGAATTTTTTTTCTTCATCATAGAAAGTTTCAACATTATACAATTAACGTGATAACCGCGCTATTAAATAGAAGGCAAAGTGTGCCTTATGAGTTAAACAATCAACCAAAGAATTAGACTCTATTAATATGGATAATTCAGACTTATACTATGCTAAGATCATGATTCATGAAACGCAAAAATTAGTCTTGCACGTTGATGATGTTCTTATCTCAGAGCCTTGAGAAACACAAAGTTTGTCATTGAGTCGAGCTGCCACTACAACAGAACAGTAATTTAGTGACGGTCTTCGGGACTGTTACCAATGGTCAAACCCGTCGCTAAATAACTTAATGACGGCCTGCAGACCGTCGTTGAGCCCGCTGTCCTTAAATGCTTTCGCGACGCTTTTGGTCGACCGTCGCGACACCCGTCGGTAAAACATAACGACGGCGCAGAGTGTCGTTATCTTTTGACCACCTTCGTTATTTTATATTCATTAAATTTTTAAAAATATATATAACGGTTCTTGACCGTCGCTAAATCAACCAAACGTCACAATAAATATCTGTTTTTTTGTGCTCACCTGCTCCGGTGATGACACCCCACACCTACTGTATTCTTTCCTAAATATAGCCCTTTTAACAGATTAAACTAACAAATCTGACTTTGAATTACCAATCAACATTCCTTCAAGTGTAATACCATCAGATTAACAAGATAAACCTCAACATTCCTTGAATTCAAAATTTATGAAGTTTCATGCTTGACATTCAACAATATAAACAAGCTGTTGATGCCTCATGTTATACATAAGAAGTTTTATGTTATAAACCCAGTAAATCAAAATCTAAAGTTCACATTCACCAAAAATTCAAAACTCCCACTTACATCCCCTATTAGCTCCTTATGCCACCAAATCCAGTCAGAACCTTTTGAAGTAGCAAAGACAACTCCAGCTTTGTTCAGGCCAGTAGATCAACTTCCTTAATTAACAAACAACCCTGTAGAAACACCCATTAAACCATTAATAACTTAAATACCACATATAATGCACTATAAGAAATTGGTACCCATTCAAACTATTCCTACTCTTGTCAGAACACTCATAATTAAGTTACAGGCTCGAGGAGACACAACTGAAACTAATCAATTTCATGTCTAGTAAGTCAATAACCAATCTAACAATCACTAGCTCGGACTACCAAATTAGCAGCAACCTAAAATAAAAAGAACAACCAGCAGGTATGGAGCATACATGAGAGCAGATAGATCAACTCCATAATAAAAAGACCATTTTTTCATATTATATGCGCCGGATAGATAGCTTGGGAAACCAGCAACTATTACTGTCACAAGAGCTATACCTGCTATAAAATCTTTACTGAGCTCTTTGAGATTATATTAATCAGTGGGTTTTGCTGGAATTCCTTGTGAAGAGGCTGGAGTACTTCAATATGGAAACTTTATGTGATATTCTTCTAGGAGAAGTACTGAATCTTTATTAGGCTCTCCATAAAGATAGGTATGACATGAAAAATGAAACAATCATCTTAGATAATGAAAATTGAGTCAATTATCCCATATATCAGAGTACTCAGAGCATTACACCCACATCACACATCTCATTGAAAACACCAAACAAACACCAGATTTTGATACAAGGAAGCTAGTCTATGCATAAATTAAACAATAAAAGGAATTGGAAGTGAACGTGATACAATTACATACCCCTAATCAACCAAATCAGAAACCGTGAGACAAACCACTAAGAACATTCTACAGGATAACATACTTATGCAGAAAAGGATGGTACCTGATGTAATAACACTAGTAGTGTTTTAGAGCAAGTAATAAACTGAATCAGCGCAACTCCACCCATCAGCTGGTCATAGCACCCCAAGCACAGAACAAGAGAGAGGAATACTGGATTAAAAAGTATATATTATATAACAGCATGAAATTGGAATGGGACGATAATGCAATGCAGCAGCCTACCATGGAGCTTAGAACTTGTTCTCATTTCTCTGCATGGCCATGCTGCTCCATTCGATTTTAGGAAAATTGCATATAAAGGTTCATCGAGCACTTCAGTGTCATCTCTCTGAGAAGTAAAGATTGAACGGGAATGAGATATTACTCCAGTTCATTTCGTTCTTTCTCTGATACACACTTGGCAAATCATGAAGTAGAAAACCAATTCAATTTTGATGCAACTGCTTTGCAAGAAGGCTTTCTCTGGATTTGGTCATACTTCCTCTCATAAAGTTTGTGCAAAATTCAGATGGCCTTGAGAAAGAATCAAACACTAAATCTCTAATTAACACCCTAAAAATTTGAATTTATCGCCCTAACCTCACTCCACGGACAATTTTGCCCCTAATCCGAATTTATCGCCCTAACTTCTTTCCTCGAGAAAACTCCTCTGCCGAAACTCAATTTATCGCCCTTTTATTATGTCCATGCATTAGCTAGCTGGCTCTTTTTTCATTTGAAAACTAAGCACAAAAATCATTGAAACTGAACTAGTTCAATCGTCAACTTAAGCAAGACCCATAAGTCAAAAACGAACAATCACCAGTAGGAATCACAAAATTACCCAATTTCTCACAAATTTGTATCAGCCGATCTCATCAAGCACTAACTTTCCGGTTCAAACTCACTCAATTTGAGGCCTGCTTAACCACCCACCATCAGAAAACCAGTACAAGGAAACATAAACAGAGACTAACTGATGAATCAATAGCTCGGAGAAAGGAAGACCTGACAAAAGAGTACATGAGGCTGGTGCTGAGAGACCTCGGAGCTGACCATGAATGGATGACCACGATCGGTCGAATTCCTTCCTGCCGGAACCTTGATGAACACAGTTAATAACCAATAGTAACCTGGCGATGGTGAACGAAGATTTTAGAATTAGATTTGGACTAAACACTAAACAGCAACATCTTGCTCTCTCTTGAATCTTTTTTGTTTGCTGTGGCAGAGGACAGAATCTTTTCAGAAATGTTCTGCTAAAAGTAAAAAAATGTAAAAACCAAAAAAGCCCAGGTATCTGCCAGAATCTCATTGGCCCGCGTGATTTTGGCTAATTAATTAATGTATCTATAGGGAAAGTGAAAATGCATGGAAAGAAAGGCTTTTGAGTTTTGAGTGATGGGAAAATGAGGTCACACAAGAATGAAATCACTCGAGAACTTTCACATGAACATGCAGACCAACTGCTATTTGGAGAAAGTAGGAATCTTTTTAGGGTGGAAAGCAAGGAACTCAACGTTCCGGTATTTTTAACGTTTGGAAGTTACAGTAAATAAACGAATACAAGAAGGATTGTAGGAGCTCATATAAGGAAGCAACTTCAATGGCCTCGCTGTATCGGTTATGTCTGTGATTGTAAGATCACCCTGCTCTGCTAGGTCTAGGAAACAATTGAAGGTATCAATGTTTCGTATAACACAAGCAATGTAACCCGTAGGGGTTTTCATTGACTTTATATATGCTTGTTTGTCATTCTCAGCTTCTTCAGCTATGCCTTCGTTGACAATATCCTCCTGGCAGATGCTGTTCCTTGTCCTTGAAGTTACTTGCCTTTGCTTCAATAAGGTTGCAAGTACTCTAACAAGATGAGGAAGGCATGCTGGGTCGTAGATTACATCAGCGCCTAAACTGTAGAATGATGCATTAAGAGAATGTCTGTCATTTCTGAAGCAGAAAATGAAGAAGAAAGTACATTTCAAGGAAAGATAATACTACTCACACTGTGTCAGGCATGAACTCCTGGAGTTCGGCTTCAGCAGCAGATTCCCATGACAGGTGAATGCATTGCACCTCAGAATTACTCCCGATGTCAGATTTTACCTGCTTTGGGATCAGTAAATATCATTCACTTTATTGCCCACGAAATGCTAGGACGAAGGCACCGTTTACAGAAATGCAGATAATAAACAATTCAAGACAAAACTGACACTACTACCCAAGATCATAACTTGGAACGGAAAGAATCTAGGCTTGGCGCAGTGAAACAAGGAATGGAACTTAAACCCCAAACATTAGCTCAATAGGAGTATACAGCAGCTAGATGGCTAGGGAGCAGCTGGAATGCCCAAACAGATGGAAGGGGATGATATGGACGTCTGGAATTTGGCAGGGGGATCAAGCTCTGAGTTTGGAGGCCGAGGATGATTATTTTGGTAGATAGTTTGATAGCTTGCTGGGTGCATATATATCCAACAGCCGGCTACGTTGTGTTCTGGCTATTTCTTTTGGACATTTTTTGGCCATGTATGATCTTCCTGCTGCTGTTACTTTTCTTTATTCCATTTTTCCTTTCATTTTGGCTATTAATAATATTAAATCATCCTTATAAAAAAAAAGAATCTACTATATGAACATAACTTATCATTAGAGAAAAAACTCACCAGGTTTAGTTCCTTGTCACATTTCTCTAGCACATCCATTGTGGTGCTTGTATGGTTTAACCCCAAATTAAGCTTCATATTAGCCAAAGTTGACAGATCGCCATCAGATAATATAACCTGCACCGAGTGGAAACTAGAGCAGTTGCGGCAGATTACATGAGAAAAATTTACTTGAATACCGATAACTCCAGAGTTCTATGACCATAACATAAAAAATGAACAGAACTACACTCATGCATGAGAAGCAAAGCAGTAATGGTAAAGCTAATAAGCAAAAGAGAACCTATAATGAGAGATATTCTGATACTTGGTTCTCATATCAGTTACCTTAGAAGCTTTGACATGAGAAAGACAGATTCCAACCAAGCCAACGCCAGAACCAACCTGATTTGACATTCCGGTAAGTCATTAGTGAAACCAGTTCAAGGAAACAACCCAAAGAAGGAAGGCTAAGAGCAACATGAGTAGAATTACAGCCAGCTACAGCACACATCCTGACTTTGTTAAACAACAACCTTGACAAAAAAAAAAACAGAAGATATATATTCCTTAACATGTGCACTACCTCAAAGCAGGTTTTATTGGAGAATTTATCAGGGAAAGAAAGTATAAACTCGGACAAATAAAGGCTTGAAGGCCAAACCGAACACCTGTAGCAATTAAATGACAGTGACAGTACAATGTTAGTTTCCAGAATAAATGGCTAGTGGTGTCAGAAACAAATAAGAGGCAGTGTGAAATGAACGACAGTGAAAGAGAACTTCCATATGCTTCACCCTGCATTAAAGGCTGGACTATCCGTTCAACACGAAAGTACATTGATCTTATATGAAGTTTTACCATTATCAGACTGAATCCATTGGGGAAAAAGGGTTCGATCAAGCAAGCATGACATCATTATGATGTCAAAGTATGGAATCTCAGAAAGAGGCTGGCCCAACTTAAATGCAGCTAGACTACAACATATTTTAAGGAAACAAATGTGACGAGGAAGGAAATCAAGAGCAAAAACTGACAAGAGGGAAGATCATGGAGCTGCATTTGTAAACAAAGATATAACAATCATAAACATACTGCTTACCCGGTGTCTCCTTCGAGCATGTTAAGTGAGCAATTGAGCGGAACCACTAACTTTCTCAATTTGGGACAACTTGACAGTTCAAAAGAACCTATCCACAAGACACACACACGCCATCATCTAGACATCGAGCCAGAGCAGCAATGATAAAATTGCACACAACACGTATTTCCAGGTCCTAACTCAGTAACTCTTACCATCTGTGAAAAGAAAGGAAATGTGCTTGCAGGCTTTTCCTCTACTTAAACTGTCTTCCTATAAGACAAGTGATATATTAATCAGTATAGAAGTTCATCTTCCGTACATTAGAGAGGATGATTCAATCAAGAACGAATGTTGATTCCTAGGGAACCCGTCCAAGGATTACCTTCAATGAGGTCATGTAATGACCATAATGTTCGTATAATTCATCCAACACACACCCGTGAGTTGACTCTACTTCAAAAATAAGCTTCTTCACAAAATTCTTCACATAGGGTGCATAACCTATGGTAGCCTGCACTAAATCGAAAACAAAAACAAAAAAGAGAACCAAGCTTTATAGCATACATAAAATTGGCAAAGCCGAAGCCCAGTTTGCACCTTCCATATCAAAAGGGTTCAATCAGGAGGAGAAAGAAAGGGCTTCAATTCAATCAATAGTCACTCTACTCACAGCTTTGTTTATGCAGTGCTCCCATATAAACCTCTGGACATTCTCCGAAACAATCCCTCCGCCGCACGCCCTTGACATATCAACACAAACAAGAAACACTAGCAACTCGTCAGCCGCCATACTAGTTGCTAAAGCTGACCTATCGCATTAGGGTTAGATATGGCATTACCTTGCAATGGAGATTAACGAGTCGGAAGGCTCCATCGCGAGGAAGGCGGAGACCAAGTGAAGGCCTGGAGGGAAGTTGGGATCAAGCTCTTCTGAGTTCGCCATAGCTGTTAGCTGCTCCGGTGTTCGCCAACAAAGTAACCCCGTGTTCTGGAAATCACAATAATGTGGAATTGTGGATGCAGTGCTACATAGAAATCGATATTGCACCTGCCGATTCCAAAATTGTGTTTGTTTTGGAGGAAAACGTGGAGAGAAATCCCGAATTCTTCTGGGGTAATTAGTATAAATGGTAACAAACCTTTGCACTTAGTACAAAACGGTCACAAACCTTTAATTTGTAACAATACGGTAACAAAAGTGATTACAGCTGACTCCACAGAAGCGACAGGCTTCTTCAATACAGAAGGAGGAACCTGCAAAAATTACAATGGGGGATGCAAGTAAGAAAGCTAAAGTGATTACTTTCACTGAAACCGAAACTCAATCGGGTCCAACTACAAATCACAATTTGGATGGCGGTGTGGCGGAGCCTGCAAAGGAGCAGGCCCGCCCAGCCCAATGAGTTATATAAGCTATAATTGCCGGGGTTTGGGGAGTCCCCTGGCAATTAAAAAGCTGGATCGATTGATTCAGAGAGTAAACCCCAGAGGGGTTTTCATCATGGAAACCAAAAAACAAGAGAACGAGTGGTAACTGATTGTACAGAAATTCCAAGGTTATAGAGGTTTTGGTGTGGGCTCGACGAGAAGGGCGGGAGGATTGATGGTGTTATGGCAAGAGGATGTGAAGTTAGAGGTGAAAGGATATGCAGAAAACTACATTGACATGCAGATTGATGATGAAGGAAATATTTGGCGGCTAACAGGCATATATGGCTGGCCAGAGACGAGTAGGAAGCATTTGACTTGGGAGCTGTTAAGGTATCTAAAAGATCAAACTGATCTACCATGGATGTGCTGTGGTGATTTTAATCTCATTCAACACTATGCAGAGAAGAATGGTAAACAACCTGCTAATGGATATGAAATGGATGGGTTTAATAGGGCTCTAGCGGATTGCCAACGGGAAGATCTAGGTTTCTACGGTAAACCATATACATGGGATAATAACCACAAAGACGATACCTTCCTAGAGGAAAGATTGGATAGAATGGTGGCAACTGATGCATGGAGGAAACTCTATCCTGAAGCTGGAGTTTACCATCTCAGACGTTGTGGATCAGATCATAACCCTATTCTACTCAAAACAAATGTGCTGGTTGAAGATGTAAAGTGGGGACACTATTTCAAGTTTGAAGCCTTTTGGCAGGATCATGAGGAGTGCAGACAAGTGATAAGAGAAGGCTGGGAAACTGGAAGTGGGGACTCGATAACAGGGAGGATTAAAATATGTGAGGAACGGCTTAAAAGCTGGAGTAAGCAAACCTTTGGGAGCTTGAAGTCACGAAGGATTAAAACTGAGCAGGCCCTCACTAAACTTGACAAATTGCCTAAGACAGAGGCTATTCTGGTTCAGAGAAGAACTCTTGAAAATGAACTAGAAGACATACTCTTGCAAGAAGAACTGATCTGGAAGCAAAGGTCCAGAAATGAGTGGTTGAAATTCGGGGATAAGAATACAAAGTTTTTCCATCGAAGAGCTTCAGATAGAAGAGCTAAGAACATGATTAGGAAGATCAAGGATGAGAATGGAAGGGTATGGGTTGGCCAAGAGGACGTAGCTCAATGCATAATGCAGTTCTATAAGAAGCTATATTCAGCTGGGGAAAGGACAGGTGCTCGGCAGGTAATTGAAGCTGTACCTCAGAAAGTGACTACTGCCATGAATGAAGAGCTTTTATCACCACTAACGAGAGAAGAGGTTTGGAATGCTTTGAAATCTATGGGACCCCTGAAAGCTCCAGGAGCTGATGGAATGCCTGCCCTCTTCTTTCAGAAGAATTGGGATGTGATGGGAGATGACATAACTACAGAGTTGCAGAGGTATTTTGAGGAAGGAACTTTTCCACAGCACCTCAATCATACTCTTTGGCACTGATACCAAAGAAGAAAACCCCCAATTCCCCTGTGGATTTCCGCCCTATCAGCCTATGTAAAGTACTATATAAGATCTTCTCAAAAGTACTTGCAAATAGGCTCAAAGGGGTTTTAAATAGGATCATTGTCCCTAACCAGAGTGCTTTTGTACCTGGGAGACTGATCACGGATAATGTGATAATTGCCTTTGAGTGTTTTCACTCGATGAAGGCCAGAGGAACTGGAAATAAGGGTTTCATGGAAGCAAAGCTTGATATAACAAAAGCCTATGATAGGGTAGAGTGGGATTTTTTGGAGGATGTGATGCTGAAGCTGGGGTTTGATGCTAGGTGGGTGCAAATGATTATGAATTGTGTTACTACTGTGTCTTTCTCTACATTGGTAAATGGCCATCAAACAGAAACTTTCTATCCTAGCAGGGGATTGAGACAGGGGGACCCCATTTCCCCATATTTGTTTTTGTTCGTGGTAGAGGGTTTATCAGCCTTAATCACTAAGGCAGAGAGGGAGAAACAAATTGAAGGAATCAGGGTGAGAAGGAATGCACCACAGATTTCTCACCTTCTGTTTGCTGATGACAGCATTCTGTTTGTGAGGGCTACTGGAAGGGACTGTGACAGGGTAAGGACCATCCTAAGCACATATGAAGCTGAAACTGGTCAGCAGGTAAATATACAAAAATCTGAAATTTCTTTCAGCTCCAATGTGCGACAGAGGAGGAGAAGGGAGTTGGGAGCACTTATGAATATGAGGGTTGTAGAACATCATCAGAAATATTTGGGACTACCTACAATCATAGGTCGTTCTAAGAAGCTGACTTTTGGGTATTTGGTGCATAGAGTGAGATCAAAAGTGAAAAACTCGAAGGAGAAGTTGCTATCGGTGGGAGGGAAAGAAGTATTAATTAAATCTGTGGTGCAAACACAACTGACATATGCAATGTCAGTCTTTCAAATCCTTGTGAGCACTCTGAAGGAAACTAAACGAGCTATGGCTCAGTTCTGGTGGGGAGAACTCATTGGTTGAATTGGAAGGAATTGTGCAAGCCGAAGAAGTGGGGGGGGCATGGGTTTCAAAAACTTACAGAGCTTCAACCTGGCTTTACTTGGGAAGCAGCTATGGCGCCTCGTTCAAAACCCCGGTACCCTGGTGGCACAGGTAATGAAGGCAAAGTACTATGAGGATCGTGATCCTCTTGAGGCAGAAATGGGGAGGAATCCAAGCTGGATATGGCGGGGTTTGATGGCAGCTAAAGATTTGGTGAAGAAAGGTACGAGGTGGAGAGTTGGGAATGGCCATAAAATTGATATTTGGTTAGATAGATGGATATCATCAAGTGCAAATTACAGAGTAACATCCCCAACAGCACATTGGAGTAACATTACCTCAGTGTCGGAATTAATGGAACCTGAAACAAGAAGTTGGAGGACGGAATTACTGCAGGCGCATTTCAATCCTGCAGATAGACTAAACATCCTGAAAATCCCCATCCCACGACAACCCATGGAGGATAAGAGAATATGGGCAGAGGAGAAATCAGGGGAATACTCAGTCAAATCGGCCTACAGGCTTTGGGAAAAATTTATACACCAGTGAATTGGAAACGGCTTTGGAGCCTAAAGATTCCACCTAAGGTCAAGGTTTTTGCTTGGAGATGGTTGCGGAATATAATTCCGACAGGAGCAAAAAATATAGATCGATTACAAAAGGGTAGTGAAGGCTGCCCTTTTTGCGATCTCAAGGAATCACAAGAACACATCTTCAGGGATTGTGCATGGGTGCGAAGGGTTTGGAGGTACAGCCCTATGAATACATACATAGAAAGGGGGGAAGAACTCACCTCGGAGGAATGGTACTGCGAGCTGCAAGAGACTGAATCGGATGATAATCTGGGAAGGTTCTTGGTCGCCATCTGGTACATTTGGGATCAGCGGAACTGCCACTTATGGAATAAAAAGAAGTTAGAAGAATGGGAGATTTTACCCAGAGCAATGGATTGGATCGAGGATTACCTGGATAAGCAGGATAGGCTATCCCCGGCGGAGAGAACGACGGAGCACCGATGGAAACCACCGCGAACAAAGCCAGCGAAACTGAATGTAGATGCAGCGTGTCTTGAAGGGTGAGGAACGGGATGAGGCGTGGTATGTCGGGGAGCTAATGGAGGATTTAAATTCGCAGGGGTAAGAAGATCAAGGGTTCAGTGGAACCCAGAAGAGGCAGAAGCCATGGCGATTGACTTTGGATTGGAGCTTGCAAGAAGAATGGGGATCGAGGAAATGGAGATAGAATCGGATTGCTTGGGGGTGATTCTCCAAATGTGAAGGGACGAAGAGAGAGAAACAGAAGTGGGGCTGATCTGTGCTGAAATTCGGGCCAAAGCCTAGCAAGTAGGTGAAGTTTCTTGGAGCTTTGTGGGCCGTAATGGGAACAAACCGGCCCACGTTTTGGTCCATATTGATTGCACTTGGGATAGTAAAGAGGTGTGGGTGGATAACCCACCTCATTTTATTGTACTTCTCCTTAGAGAGGATGAAACTTTGGTTGATTAATTAATTGAATGCAGATTTAAAAAAAAAAAAACAGAGTCGATTGCTATTCATTTTTCACGCTGCTTCTCTCTGTCATTCCCATTTCCCGCCAACTGAAGGAAAAGGCTCACAAGCATTGTGAGGTTGGCTCTCGTTTCTCTCGTCTTGTTCGCCGTTTGGTTTCCGAGAAAATCCTCTCTACTTCATCCCGCAACTTGACTTCTGAGAAGATCGCTTTTGCTTTTTCAGTCGCCTTCCACGAACTGCAGCCTCGATTTCGATTCAAATTTCCATTCCAAGCACCAAGAAGACATGAATCAGGTAAATGACCAAACCTTTTCAAACTGATTTTAGTTGTAGGTTTCAAATTCTCCAGTCGTAGATCTCGAAGTTAAGGAAGAAATTCCGCTCCAATCTGTTTGAAATGCGGTACTAGACAGTTGATTCGTATAGTTCAGTGATTATTCCTCTTCTCCTCTTTCTGGCTCAAATGATCAGGACATCGAAGCGTCTCCTTCGCCGAAGAAGCAGATCTCCAATGTAACTGTCTGCTCTCGCTTCAGGCCATTGAGTTCAAAAGAGAGGAAGGATCACGGTGGCCGAGTTTGCGTGTGCCGTATCGACGACGAAACTTTCGTCTTCAAGGTAGGTATTAATCTGATACTAACCTCCCTTGCTCCGATTGCTATGCTGATTTCAGTTTCTCCGGTGTTAATTAGGATGAGAAAGAAGAAGAGTCTACTTTCAGCTTCGATAAGGTTTTCTATGAGGATTCTCTGCAAGCTGATGTCTATGAATTCCTAGCCCTGCCTATCGTTCGTGGTATAGAGATCGCCGCAAACTGTTTGATTAGTTTTCTTCTTTCGTTTTCTCAAACATCTGGTCAAATTTTTGTTCTGATTCTGAAGTTCTTCCTCTATTCAGATGCTGTCAATGGAGTGAACGGCACGATAATCACTTATGGACAGGTGAGTTTAGGTAAAATTGGAGTCAAATCCGTGCTAGAATTCATATTTGATTTTCGATTTGTGGCTTAGACTTCAGACCTTTTCATTTTTTCCTGAATCATCACTGTCATCTTTCTTCAAGCAGACGGGAGCTGGGAAGACGTATAGCATGGAGGTAACATACATTTTGTTTCCTCAGAGTTTCAATGTATCTTGTGATCGGCAGTTTGCTGTTTTGCTTATTTGACAACTCTTCCATGGTACTGGGATCAGGGACCAAATGTTCTAGAATCAGATGATATGAAGAAAGGGCTACTTCCAAGAGTAGTAGATGGACTATTTGAGCATATTGCGTCTGCTGGTGATTCAATCAAGTACAAGATCAAGCTATCCATGGTAAAAACAACTACTGTTGCTAATAGATTTGGTTTGACAGCTTCAACAAACTGGGACTAACAAGCTTCTCATGATATCTTCTGATTCTTAAAGGTTGAAATCTACATGGAGAAAGTCAGGTATAAGTTCTTCATTTCTGCACTAACCTAGTTTAGAACTGAGGATGTTTATGCGAGCAATGAAATTTCGGTGCTTCGTTTCCTTAGGGATCTCTTTGACTTGTCTAAAGATAATTTAGTGATCAAGCAGAGTAAAGATCATGAGATGCTGATTTCTGGAGTGACAGAGGCAAGTGAACTTCTGCCTCTACTATCTTTATCAGGAAAGTTAGTTCATTTGTTTTCTGCGTGGTACTGGTACGAAACAACAGGTTTACTTTTGCCAATACCAAACGAGAGCAGGATGATTAATTTAGTTCGTAGATATTAAGTCCATGATGACCCCAAGTTTTAGATTTCTCAAGCAGACTTTTCATTGAATAAATCAAATGGTGAATTCCATTCATCTGTAGACAAGCTATCTTTAGTTTAGAAATCGAATATGCTCGTTGTCAGTCTCAACCATACTATCAGTTTACTAACAAGCGTTTTACTTGGCCAGATTCACTTGTCAGACACAGTAGAAGCTTTGCAAAACCTACATGTAAGATAGTCTCCTTTGAAAACGTATTTTTCAAATGCATATTCCTCGTTCTCATGTTAAGACTGAACTTGCAGGCTGGAATACAAAATAGAGCTGTTGGGGAAACCCGTATCCACTTAATCATGCTTTTAAATTTCATTGAACGTATAGCACCTAGCAAAGGATAGTCTTCACAAACTAGCTGCACTATTCATCTGTGTGGAGTAGACGTTCAGTTCTTGACAGTAAAAAGAAATGAATCTGGCCAGCAGTCGAAGCCACTGTGCCTACATATTCACAGTCCAGCCAGATTCGACCAGAGATAGGTCTTTGTCTGTTTCTATCTTCTGTTCTTTATCTTCTATCATAATTACATTGAGAAATTAGTCTGAAATTTTGAACATCATTGGCAGGGGAAAAACAGGGAAATTGGTGCTTGTTGACTTGGCAGGATCTGAGAAAGTGGAGAAAACTGGAGCTGAAGGGAAACTTCTCGATGAAGCTAAGACCATAAACAAATCCCTATCAGCTCTAGGGAACGTGATAAATGCTCTAACATGCAGTTCATCCAAAGCTATTCACATACCTTATCGTGATTCTAAGCTGACCAGGCTTCTTCAGGATGCTCTAGTTAGTTCCTTGCCACTCAAGATTCACAATCCGTTGTTCTTCCAAGGGATCAGAGATTGACCAGCTGCTTGTTCTTCTGCTGCCAGGGAGGCAACTCCAGGACTGCTTTAATCTGTTGCTGTTCGCCGAGTACCTCAAATTCTTCAGAAACATTTTCCACTCTTCGTTTCGGTATCAGGTGCACATCCTGTATTCTTTAGTCTATTCCATGGCTGATTTCGTGAAGAGGAAAATCCATGTCATCATAATTAGATTCTTGCTATTGCATATTTGTACTCACTTAATGACCAATCATACTGATTGGTATCTTCTTGTAGGGCAAAGCATATAAAGACATCGCCTACTGCTAAACGGATAATTGATGAGGAAACTGAAGCCAGATGGCATCCAGCCGATGTTCCAACAAAAGAGGAGTCTGGTGAGAGAACTATAGCTCAGGTCAGAACCAAGTTACAGCGATATATTCCTCCGAAGCACATTCTTTTTTGTTTTTCTTTCCAAAGTAATGAACATATCTGCAGATGAAGTTATTACCAACTGTCAAACATATTGACGAAGACAAAGAAGCGAAAATGCATGCAGCAGATGCAAAGAAAGATGATTGTTATGAGAGAATTCTAGCCAAGGTCCGGTTTCAAGGTCTAAAGATGTCCCTCTGAATCATATGCCCTTTCATTTCCTCACCATTTTTTCAGAATTATAATGCAGTTGAGGGAGAGATTGGATGACGAGGATGTCAACTTGCTCGAGGAATTACTCGTACTGGAGGAAATGCTGTTTGATCCCAGTACAGCAGAAGGCTTAGAATTGGACTTCGAAGATATGACTTCACGTACAATCAACTTGCTGCAACAGAATCTGCAAGAGCTTATGATTACTTGTGAAGAGGTAAGCAAAATTTCAGTTAAGAATCGCACGAGTGAAGAGTTCCTCTTTATTTCATCTTAGCGTCTCCCACAGCGCTCTTCCCTGAGAAGTATAGTGATGTGCGTGTGTTTGCAGCTTACGAGTGAGAACAAAGCTCTCAAGGCCAGAATTGCAGCTGGTGGAACTATGGAAGGTGATCGGGAAGAGAATGGAAGTTTCTTCATGCAGAAAGTTTCTGGCATTATCAGCTTCTTCTTTCCGTGGGTTTGGGGTCGGGCCCAGTAGTCAAATTTCTTGAGTAGAAGGCCTTTTTTAATATGAAGTCAGTTTCTATCTCACAATCAGTCGGAGCTTTTTCAGTTTGTTTGTCAAACATGACCTTTATTACACGTGATAGTAGCAAGGATTGTATCGAAACTTATATTGAAAAAGTCATTAATAGGAAATCTCATACTAAAATTATAGTTTAACTAGCAAGAACCGCTCGCTTGCACTTCGCGATGAGTGAATCTAAGCCCGCAATACACTTTCGAGAATTGATCTTGTAAGAGAGTCAATATAGATTCTTAACTTAGCAAGAGTGTTTTGAAAGGTACATATATTGTTGTTCAATATTAGGAGTACTTGGTACTTGGTAACATAAGAAAAAACTTGTCTTATTAGTAAAGTAACTCAAGTTACATAACTGAAAAATAAGTTGATTCTAAGAGAGCATAACACTATACAGAATTACAGACTAAAAAACACTAAGCAACATCGACACTGAAGCTTCATATAGTTAAAGACCAACAAATGAAAGGATAGCGATAAAATATCGAATGTACTTGAAGTGCATTCAGTTATACAACAATGCGATGACAGCAAAATTTGAGCTGTTATATCACTAAAGGAAAGTATCCAATAATATCCTAAGAGTCCTGCCATAGCTTATACTGGTCGAGAAGAAAAAAAGAAGTGTAATGCTTGTCTCTAACTGCTACTCCTAAAAGAAGTCAAATTTTGATGATGAAATTGTAAGTTCCATGGAAAACAAATTGCACAAATGGGTACGTAGATAAGATATAGGGAAGCTGTAGTGATTGGCAACAAATAAGTGAGAAGAAGCATTGCAACAAAATTCTCCCTCACCGGCAAAGCAATCTTATTATATTATGAACATATTTGTAAAGAATGAAAGCAGATAACTAGCATAGAATTACAAATTAGAAGTGAAAACCTACACAGAAGAAAGTAGCAGAATCACATTCGAAAGGGTAAAACCAATAAAACGGATTACATAAGTTAAGAATCGAACGATTGGCAATTCGAACTGTAAATGACAATCATTTGGAGAGTTCAGTAAGGAGGGATTCTTCTGTAAACTCACTCACAGCTTCATTTCCAAGATCTACTCAAGTACTTGTGCATCCACTATAACTTATAGAATGGCTACAACTTTTGAATCATGATCCTCAAAACTCGGATTCATTCAACCATACCCCACAAAACAATCCAAACATTTCCTAGCTCACTAAAATGAATATTTAAGACATGAAAGGCATCTAATGGCAGCAACATTAGAGGTGGCAATTTCAATCCAATCCACCAATCCAATCCATCAATCCATTAAAAATATCCACCTAATCCAATCCATTTAAATCCAATCCATTTGATCCAAATCCAATTGGATTGGTGGATTCATGGATTGGATCCATGGATCATTGGCAAATTACGATTTAGTACCTATAATTTTTATTTTTTTACATTTTGGTACCTAAAATTTAATTTTTTATACGAAAAATATCAATGGAAAATTACGTTTTGGTACCTAAAATTTTTCATTGTGACATTTTAGTACCTAAACTTTTTACATTTCACATATTGGTCCTTGGTTGAGGATCTCATTTGGATTCATGGATAATCCACCAATCCACTTGATCCAATCCATGAATCCACCAATCCATTAGATCCAATCCATTTGATCCTTGGATCCACCAATCCAATCCACCAATCCAATCCATTTACCACCTCTAAGCAACATCAATAATGCTGGAATGGTTATCAATGAACTCAAAATCATAATCAGCAAGGAATGAAAACAGACCCAAGTATATGGAATGGAAACCATTATAATAATAAGCGATAAATCATTGGCCGCACATGAGGGAGGGGCACTGCATTACACAATCTCCAAGTTTTTGGTTAAAAAAAAATCGATTCCTATTTAAATTTTTTATCCCACATCCCCATTTTGACAAGAAGAAATGAAGTAGTTTCTAGAAAAAGAAAATAATAGTCATCCACAAACCACCCAGTAGAAGCTTTATAATAACTTTTCCTTTTTCATCTTTTTTAGAAATTACGGATGAATGAAACTTGATTATAGTCGTATGTGCAGGTCATTTCCCCCTATTGTCGTTTCAGTTGGATAATGGTGTTTGTGATTGTATTATAGATTTCAATTTATCATTGTTTAGCGGAATAAATGTATTGCCCACTCGCATCTTTTTCCTTCTATAATTGTTCTGCTCTTACCACTTTCTAAATATACTCCTATTTCTCTCCGTTGTTTCTGTTACCATTCTTCCTTCAATTAAAAGCATGAGAATTTACAAAAGAAAGCATAAAAAAATATATTGATTAATTAATAAAATTAATCCTATTGGCTGATTTTCATTAATAAAAAAATTAATTTTGATGTGACACTATGTAAAAGAAAATGGAAAAAGAAAATGACAATGACAAAGAAGAAAGATGAAAGAGAACAAAAATCACCTTCCCATTTGCTTTTTTTGAACATAACAAAGAAAGGAAGAGAGAGAGAAAGAAAGCATAAAGAAAAATAGATTGATTAATTAATAAAAGTTAATTCTATTGGCTGATTTTAATTAGTAAAAAATTAATTTTGATGTGACACTATGGAACAATAAAATTCTTACTTGTTCTTATAAAGTACTAATTTTCCTTTTTGATCTTTCTTAGAAATTACGGATGAATGAAACTTGATTATAGTCATATGTCATTTTTTCCTATTGTCGTTTCAGTTGGATTATGGTGTTTGTGATTGTATTATAGATTCCAATTTATCGTTGTTTAGCGGAATAAATGCATTGCCCACTCGCATCTTTTTCCTTCTATAATTGTTCTGCTCTGATCACTTTTCTGGATATACTCATATTTCTCTCCGTTGTTTCTGTTATGATTCTTCTTCCAATTAAAAGCATGGAAACTTACAAAAGAAATCATAAAAGAAAAATATATTGACTAATTAATAAAAGTTAATCCAATTGGCTGATTTTAATTAATAAAAAATTAATTTTGAAGTGACACTATGAAAAAGTAAATGGGAAAGGAAAAAGACGATGAAAGAGAAACAAAAATCACCTTCCAATTTGCTTTTTTTTTTGTACATAACAAAGAAAGGAAGAGAGAGAGAAAGCACAAAGAAAAATAGATTGATTAATTAATAAAATTTAATTCTATTGGCTGATTTTAATTAATAAAAAATTAATTTTGATTTGACACTATGAAACAGTGAAATTCTTACTTGTTCTTATATAATAATTGTATTTTAACTGATTTTCTATTATCAAAATCATTTACTGATTTGAATTCGATAATGTTCGGTACAACTGGCTGGTACTATACGATTTCTAAAATATTGGATAATATAATAGACGTTGGGAGTGGAGTAGGATGTTGTCATGCTGACCAATAATGGATTACAGGATTAGTAGACAATGCGTCGAGGCCATACAAACAAGGGCCGCGGAAGCCAACTTACGGAAACTCTCTTGACGGCCCAAAACGTTCAAGTCTCTCCCTTTATTGGATTTACATGTACTAATTACTACTCCTTGACTAACTCGGCTGACACTGACAGCTCTGCTTCTGAAGCCTTTCCTTTCTCAATTCTCCGGCGTGTTAAGACTTACGAAACAACAACAAGAAGAAGAAACAACAGTAACAGAAGCGACATCACATAAGGTACTCTGATTTTGGAATAGTATGATAAATCTGTTACCTTCTCTGTCGCGTTAGAAGTGGAATTCTTCTGTTCTTCACTTTGGACTTTTTTCCTCGATCCTTCATCTTCTTTTCGTGTGTCGTCCAACTGCTCGATAAAATGCCACACCCACTCAGTAAACCAGTATCGATCCCGGAATCATGCACCACAACCTGCTGATTTTCCAATTTGTGGCTGGGCTGTTCTCAGGGAAACAGTGAGGGAGAGAGGAAATGGCGTTAAGACGCTACTTTGGGTTCTCAGAGGGAGAACTGATGAGGTCCGATTGCAAGCCTTGCTCCAGGCTCATGAGGCACACCGCTGGGATCTTCTCCGTCGGCGGAGCATTCGGGTTCTGGATTCTCTGCCGGTTGCACTACGGTAAGGGCCTCACCACCTTCCCTTTCTCTTTCCCTTTTCCTTTACCTTCCTTTGCATAAAAAAGAAACGATGTTTTGATCAAGTTGGAAATAAGCAGACTTTCTAGTCAATTGTGTTAGGTTCTCAATGGAGTGTCTCTATTCATTCTCATACTGATTCTCCTTTGTCCCAGGTCCCAGAGTTACCACGCCGAGGGCGCTACGGTGGGCGGCTTGTGGAGCAGTCACCGTAAGTTCATCCACGGCGATGCTGGTACGCCTCTTTAGTCCTGAATGCGAGCCCCTGAACATTGCTGCTTTCGAAAAACCTGCATAGTCAAGGCCACGATAGCCTTCCTTAGCCTATGGCTATGGATCGGTTGCTCAATTCTTCGTGACTAGTGGAAACTTCTCTGCCAGACTTAAAACATTCTATGTGAAGACTTGTGCTTAAACAAATATCAGAACGTCATTCCTGCCTAATTATGCAACAAACACTTGGCTTACTGATTTGGGCCACTTATTTGGATGATTTGTTTGAAATGAATTTGGTTGATATTGGTTGATTCATTTCTCTACCCCCCAAAATTGTTCAGTTTTGGTAAAAGAATCGGGATTTGGGTATTCTTGATGATATACCTAGAAAAGATGAATTAGTAATGATGCCTGTGAATGGGGAATAATAAGCTTATTATTAGCCTTAGGGGTCGTTTGGATAAGGGATTTGAACGAGGGATTTTAACACAATCTCTAATTTTGCAGGATTTTAATACAATCACTCGTTTGGTAATGAAAAAAAAAATGAGTGATTTTAAAGCTGCCGGATTTTAAAATAGCTCATTAGCAGGATTTTAAAATAGCTGATCAGCCCCAGCTATTTTGAAATCACTCATCATCTCATTTTTTGTTCCAAAATTATCCCTTCCAATTTTGTATCACCGCTTTATTTGGTTCAACTTCTACCTCTTCCCCAGACTTCCCCTGTCCCCATCTATCGTCTCACTCTTCCCTGTAAATGAACACGACGATGGTTTCAAACTGGCGACAATCAAAACACTCCCGGCGACGGTCATGGATCTTCCGGATTCCAGATCTACCGCCATTCCTTCATCGCTCGATAGTGGCCGCCGCCATTCATGAGGGGTTCGCACTGCATAGACGATTCTCCCGAACCCATATATGGTGGGTCTCGATCTCCAGCTAGAACACCGGCGGCTCTCTGTCTCCGACGAGATTGCAAGAAAACTCCACCCATTGATTCCAACTTGGCGTCGCTCAACACTAACGACGGCCCAAATTGGAAGTGAAAACTTGAAGAGCATCTTCGTTGACCCTTTTAATGTCCTCCAAAGTTGGAACCCTAGCGATCCAGCCCATATGATTGGGGTTCATACTGGGAAGATAGGGAGCCGCAGTCGTCTATCAACGAAGAAAGAAGACAACGCAGAATGGTGGAAGAAGAAGATGCAGGGCAAAATAGTATTTTCCAATTTATTATTAGAAAATAAATTCTCCAATTGTACAATTCTGGATCCATAACAAACAAGAGATTTGTCCCAATTTCTGTGTTTTAATTTCCTGGGTTTTTAAATGAGTTATTTGTGCTTAAATCTCTCATTTAACAAAACCTTCATCCAAACGACCCCTTAAAGAGATTGCTGCATTCACGGGGTTACTGACAAAATGGTCTCACGGGCAGATGGAAGGACTCTTAAAGAAGAAAAGGAAAGAAGTGTACACAAAATAAACCAATAGAGTAGATAATTTTTGCAAGAAAACAAAGCTTTGAGGGGGAAAATGTGCCCCTTATTATTTATCTCAACTTCTCCTAGGCCATTCCTTCTGTCTTTGCTTTTTGCAGCCATTTTCCTTCAAAACATCAGAGATATAATCATCCAATACAAAGGGGTAAATGCCATATTTGGTCACTGAGATTACTAAATTGTGTCATGTTTAGTCACTAGAAAAATTTAATATCAATTTTGGTCACTCGAATTACCGAAACTGGTCACATTTAGTCACTCTCCCGTTAGTTTCCATCCAACTCCATTAATGTAGTTAGACGGAAACTTTTGGGAGAGTGACTAAATGTGACATGTTTCAGTAATTCGAGTGACTAAATGTGAAATGTTTCAATAATTCGAGTGACAGGAGTTGGACAGAGGCTACAATAGAGTGACCTAATGTGACATGTTTCAGTAATTCGAGTGACCAAAATTGATATTAAACTTTTCTAGTGACTAAACATGACACGATTTAGTAATCTCAGTGACGAAATGTGGCATTTACCCCAATACAAAGCATCCAAATATCCTTTTTATCATTGCATTTGCACCCTTGGGTTTGTGTTACCATAGCGCTAAAGCTCTACTACATCTGCACCCATGGCTGCCAAGAGCTACTCCATTGTTCTCGATGCATCGATCATCATCATACTATCCTTCCTATCACATTCAGCAACCTCCACTGATTTCAACTATCCTGCAGATTTCAACTTTGGTGATTCGAACTCCGACACAGGAGACCTCGCTGCTGGCCTCGGCTTTCGTCTTCGCCTCCCCTATGGACAGACTTACTTCAACCCTCCTACGGGGAGGTTCTGCAACGGCCGCCTTATCATCGACTTCCTAAGTAAATAATTTTCTATCATCACTCACACTATCTAAGCATATGGGTTGTAGCAGTTTTGAACATGGAACCTCTATAACCAAACAAAAAAGATGAAATCTTTTTTCTGATTTCTTATCCTTTTCTTCAATGGAAAGGGCTCTTCTTTTGGTTCATTGCTTCAGATAGTTCAAAATAGAAACCTTCTGTGGTACATAATTTGACCCACCACCTTCATTTTGCTTACTCGCTCTGGTTGGTGAGTAACTAACATCAAATTATTCTTTGTTCTGAAAGCCAACACCTTACTTCCCTTTGTTGGATATTAAAAGGACTTGGTTATTGCTCTGTAGAACTCTGAGTAACTCCAAATTTTTGTTGTTTGTTCTTCTCCAAGCTCTTGCCTTGGTCTCTATATTCGCCCCAATGTCTCATTCCATAGACTTCAACTTCCCAACTATCTTAAACTTTGGTGATTCAAAATCTGACACCGGCAATCTCATTGCTGCCGGGATCGAAACCATCAATCCTCCTTATGGTCAGATTCACTTCAAGGGTCCTTCTGGGAGATACTGTGATGGCCGGCTCACTATCGATTTCATCAGTACTTTCCTGGGCTACTCTGCTTTTTTCGGAATCTGAAAATATGTTTTCCCCTGCTTCTCATCTGCTGATTTTGGATAACAGGATTTAATAATGTGAACTGGTTTGGATTTGGCAGTGGATGCTTTTTTTCTACCGTTTCTAAGTGCGTATATGGAAGCTGTTGGGTTGCGGGAACTTTTGAAGAGGATGCAACTTTACAGCTGCTGGTTCAACCATAAATCCAGCAACACCAACGTCAGTCTGCCCATTCTCATTTGTGATTCAAGTGTCTCAGTTTCTGCAATTCAAAGCTCGTGTAGTCGAATTGCTCACCAAAAGTTTGTGCTTTTGACCCATTTGGGGATTGATTCAAAATGGTTCAGAATTTTGGCATAGGGCTTTTCACTGATCTCCACTTTTGTTTGGCCTTCAACTATAGGTAAGAAGTTTGACAAGTACCTTCCAGCTGAGGACTATTTCCGGAAGGGCTTGTACATGTTTGATATAGGCCAGAATGATCTTGCTGGTGCATTTTACTCCAAGAGCTACTATCAAATCGTCGCCTCGATCCCAACCACCTTATTTGAGTTCGAGAATGGAATCAAGGTTTTGTATAGCTATTCATCGCTTAACTCCCATCTCCTTTGAACCATTTCTCTCTCCTTTGTTCTGCTTCCAAAACTTAAACATACGTCCATTCTTGTTCTAGAGATTGTACGATGAAGGAGCGAGGAACTTCTGGATACACAGCACCGGTCCTCTAGGATGTTTGGCTCAGAATGTGGCGAAATTCGGTACTGATCCGTCCAAGCTCGACGAGCTAGGCTGTGTTATTGGGCATAACCAAGCTGCCAAGCTTTTCAATCTGCAGTTTCATGCTCTGACCAAGAAGCTGCAAGCTCAGTATGCTGATTCAAACATCACACATGTCGATATCTACACTATCAAGTCCAACCTTGTTGCAAACTACTCCAGATATGGTAATGCTTCTTGTCTCCTACCGCATTGAGAATGTGCTATGTTCCTTCGTGCTTGCGGAATGCAAATTGCGAGGAACGATTGCGTGATATTGTTGTCATCATCCTTTGCAGGATTTGAGCAGCCCATAATGGCTTGCTGTGGCTATGGAGGACCACCACTGACAGTTACAGCCAAGGTGTGCAATGACAGTACCGAGTATGTGAACTGGGATGGGATTCATTACACTGAAGCTGCAAACCAGTATCTGAACACAGCTTGCTGAGATCGATTGCCCTAGCTGATTCATTCTTTTACTCCAAGCTGTGATCGATTGCCCTAACTGATTCATTCTTTTACTCCAACATCGTATTCCTTCTCCTGCCTGTAAAACTTATTACAAAAGGATAGGATCTAATACAAGTGCATTCTAACAGTGATCGACTTTGTCACTTTAAGGAAGTCATTGATGTTCAGGTATTCCTAGATGTTAGCTGCCGTACACCTATTATACATCTGTGAGCAAACTGAAACCAGATGCATAATTGAGCAGACCTTGTGGTGCAAGTTTATGCACAATAGACAAAAATTGAAACAAAAGAAACCACATTTTATGAGCACTGAAAAAATCCAACGGTTAGGTCGCGCTATTCAACCCTCCCTGAAACTTATAACCACAGTCAGAAACTAGTACAAGTCTACAGTAATGTTTAGACAATGATGGAGTTTGCCACTCAACAGAAGTTTAAGAATGTGCACATTATACAACATACTCAGCAACAACAGCATGAGTTTCACGCCAAATATAACCTCTTGCTGTTTGCTTCTTTCTCAAAAGGCCTAGAAATGTTTACATGAACTGTAAACATCACAATGAGATTTTAAGAAAAAAAACATGGTTGCTCTCGAAACGTTTCAATAAGAGGAAATCAATACTCAATAGAGGCCTAGAAACTGTTTCTTGGTTATCATCCAGTCATCCTCTCATTAGAGACTCCCACCATCCACTTGACCATAGTATTTTGTACAAATGTCGATCATGGATTCGAATGACAGAAGAAGTGCACAGACCCTATTTCCTGGAAACGTAAGCAAAGTATTGAGCCATGGGAACAACAAAGGCAATCACCAGGAGACCTCCAACCACAAGAGTGAACTGCCCTCGCTTCTCGTATGTCTCCTCCTTAGTCTTGAAGTTGGATTCTCTCTTGTTATCCTTCACCGTCGGAACACCTGGATCCGGGAGTCCATCGATGGCCGCCACTAGCCTCTTGGCACTGCTCAAAAGTGCTTCATTGTACTTCTCTTCCGTAGCCAAAACTGCAGCAACAATATAACCCAGCCATCTTATTCAACATGAGATTCTAATGACGAGGAACGACACATATGGAGTCATCTCATTGCGGTTAAATTGGAGTAAAAAATAGAACCCAGCCATCTCATATGGTGTGCAACCAACATACCAGATTATATTAGATCAAATCGACATTGCGGTTCAATTGATAGAGTGCGCTTTTGATTCCAGACTATAGTCCTCATTCTTTCCCACTTAAATTTTGATCTAGCCTATGCCAATTTGATATGATTTTGAACCGAAACAAGCCATGCTCACCGTTCACCCCTAAATGCCATAGACACTACTAGATTACAACAGTCCACCAAAATTATTGAGATGGACCATCTAGTGAAGTGACTTTAGAGACACAAAAGGGCATATCCAGAAACTAAAAATTCAAGCAAAATGAACAAGCTTTACCTGGAAGATTCTCTGATACAGTAGCATCAAGAACGCTTTCTCCAACAACTTGCACAAATGCAGGACCTCCTGTAATAACACCTTCCTTCTGACTCGTTACCAGGACAACTATCCCTTTGTTGTTCCCTTCTTCAACACTTGGGTACCATTTCTCCAGCACTTGGTCTGCATACTCAAAAGCATCAGCTTTGCTCTGCCAAAAAACATCCCAATCAGATAAAATCCCCTTTTTTCCAACCACTAACACGAATCAAAATGGGGCAAATCTAGAATCCACTCACGGTGAGCTTCCTGACAGTGATGAAGTTGATCTTGAACTTCTTCCTCTACTCCAAATCGGACAAGAGATTCTTCAGATCAGTCTTGGTAACTCTACTGAGAACTCCAGCGTCATCCACCACGTAAGCATCCTTGGGCGGGCCTTCATTGATCACATCGAACTCCGAAGCCAGAGCATTGTTGGCCGTCACTGGAGTAAAGCTGAGCGCCAAGGAGAGAGCGAGAGCTGCAATTCCTTGTTGGGCATGAACCAGCCAATTCGTGGGTTTTGTTGAAGAGGGTAGTCTGCTTCTTTAGGGCTGCTGGTTGAGCAACTGACGATGGGCTTGTGGAGATGGATTGAAGGTGGAGGGAAATTGGGTTTTGGGTTGAAGAAAGGGGAAGAGAGGGAGTGAGAGGAAAGCAAGGTTTCCATGGGAGAATGTGAAGAACAGAGCTATCGCGGAGAAAGGCTGGGAGAAGGTAGTGAGAGTGGTGTCGTTGTTTCTCTTCCTGGGATGAACTCATTTTCGTTTCGTTGGGTGAGTATTTTTCTCTGCGGCTTGGATTCGGTTTCTGTTTTCTGAATTGGTTCAGTGGCTGCCAATGTTTGGAGAATGGATAAGGATTAAGGCATAAATAACGGATTCTATCTGTGAAGAGAAGGGGGACATTTTGGTCAATCCGTCTTTCCATAAACCTCTCACTTTTCTGTACATTAACGACCATGGTAAGAAGTTTAGGTGACATAATGAAACCGGTAGCAAATTTAGTTTATTTTTATTTCTAAAGATGGAACAATAAATAGGTGAACACCCTTAACATATTAAGATTACAAGAGCCATATGGAACAATAAATATGCATAATTATAATGTCTCATGCAATTGGAATGAGCAATTTTATTAAAGGATGATAAACGACTTAAAATGACGTATAAAACACCAAAATAAATTGAAAAATGAAATTTGAAAATGAAACATATAAACAGGGGCAGACCTACTCATTGTTAAGGGAGGTCAGTTGACAAAGCTTGACTTTGAAATTAGAGCAGATCAGTACATTGAAAATTATATTGTTGTTGACAGGATTTGAACTCTTCATAATTTGAAAACCCTTGCAATTAATTAGAAATTGCCTCAACCCACTAGCCAATTGTTATTATGAAATACAATGCAAATACAAAAGGACGTAAATTAGTTTCTAACTATAATATTTCGAATCCAAGTCCATTAAGATTTAATTAAATTTTCTTCTCCTCTTCAGAGGAATGAAAAAGGTGTAAGATTATATGAACTTTTCAGAATATGAAAAAATATCGTGGTTAACTATGAAAACGACGAATCAATGTACTTTATGAATTAAAAAATTATTATTTATTTTTGTGAATATATTTGATAATATTTCTGAGACCGCCAGTGCATATAGGGTTCGTTACACATTCTCAAGAAATAGTGGATGAACTCAAACATCGAATTTGAAACAAAAGAACCAAATGATTAATATAGCTTTTCATAGAATTAAAAATAACTACAGTATAATTAAAAAAATATTCTTAAAGTTACTACCCTTAAATCTTAATAGTCATTTCTCAAAATTTAGCACTAGTTTACTATTAAATATATTATTCACTATTCCATCAATTACATTTTTCCTAATAAAAATATTTAATTCTCATCAAGTTTAGTTTTTCAGTACTTTTTCTACACTTTTATCAAACATTTATTTTCCCAAACTTAAAATAAATTCCCAAATTTAAGAAAAAGTGATAAGTTCAAAAAATTTCTATCTCTGAATTAATCACACCATAGCATTGGAAAACTCAAATGGAAACACACATGAAAACATAAGCATAGTATTAGGTAAAAAATGTAAAAATTAAGTACACGATTATTCTCCAAGTGAAGAGTATAAAACAACTCGGTAAAACCATCTGAAGAAGCAAAGTGAAAACTGAAATCCCCAGTCGTTATCTTTCTCCCTCCAAATTTCCCCCAATCTCAACGACCATGAAATTTAACCCCAGCCTCTCATGGCCGTTCTCCTCTCCCTCTCCTCTTCCTCCCGCCTTCCAAACCTTCCCGAAAATCCCCAATTGCACCACAACCCCAACCCCAAATCTCTCAATCCTACTTCCTTTCTCGACAATCGCCATGTTCAGTCCAAGAGACAGTTTTTGCTCACAACCACTTCACTCGGTCTCATAGCCCTAACTTCCCAAACCCCACTTCCCAATTCCTTCGCTGTACCTTCTCCCACGCCAAAGCCTGCATCTTTCTCAGGAATCGTCAACACAAAAGCTTGGCTTCAGCACTATGGAGATGGGTTCTCCATCCGAGTCCCTCCACAGTTCGAGGACATCGAGGAACCAGAGGTAAATTGCCTCATTTGGCCTTTGATTCGTCCAAAGTGAGAAATAAGTTTTCATCTCTTTTTCCTTTATTCTTAGTGCGTATTGTGGTTCGTGCAGGATTTGAATGGCGGATTGTCTCTTTATGGAGATAAGGTTAAGCCAAAGACCTTTGCTGCTCGGTTTGCCACTGCTGATGGGTACATTGACCAAGTTCTACACTATTTTGTGTTTTCTTGTATTGTTGTGGATATGGTGAGAGTTGAAAAATTTCTAGTTCATTGTGATTGTCTTACTAAGATGGTATGGAATGTGGAATTGGCATCGGATGTAGGTCTGAAGTTGTGAGTGTCCTGATTCGCCCCACCAATCAGCTCAAGATCACCTTTTTAGAGGTCTGGGTATAACAGATTGCCAATTGCCATGCTCAGATGTGATTTATTTAAATGGTTACTGGAAAGGGCAATGAAGAGCTCTTGCAAACTCTGATAGATACTTACCATTGCTACATGACTTTGTGCAGGCTAAAGATGTTAGCGATTTAGGTTCCTTGAAAGAGGCAGCAAAAATCTTTGTTCCAGGCATGTTTAATTGTGCTTATCAAACCATTTTGGGTCTAGATTTTTATTCCCTTCTTTGTTGATTTGGATTGTCGTAGCAAGGATCATCCATTGTTCATATTGCCTTTTCCATCGTGTCAATGGCAGCTGGTTCGACTATATACACTGCCAGGACAATCAAAATAAAGGAAGAAGAAGGTTTGAGGTAAGGGAGTCCAATTAGAACGCTTTCCAATTTCAATAATTTCTAGCTAACTGGCAAACGTGTTGCATCCACCTTCACTGGACCCTGTTTCAGGACATATTACTTCTACGAATTTGGTAGATATGACCAGCATGTGGCGCTGGTGGCGGCAGTCAACAGTGGAAAGGTTTTCAATGACTACTCTCCATCTTTGAACTGTTGAAATGTTCTTGGGGGCTCTCTGGGTTTTGTTAAGTTGGAGTGTACATGCATTGTTAGTCTTTGTTCTTTCTTCTTCATTATGGCTTGTAACAATATTTCTCAAGAAGCTTCTTTGAACCTGTAGGCAATCATTGCTGGAGCAGCAGCCCCGCAATGGAAGTGGGATGACGTCGGAGTGAAGCTTCGTTCAGCTGCTATCTCACTTACGGTCCTATGATAAAATGCTCTTGACTCCGTTAGTACAAATTTATTAGAACATTCATAGTTTCAGTCCTTAACGAGGCTTCCTTATGTATGTCCTTAGAAGTAGACATACTTGTAATGTTGACATTGAAAACCCAAGTCATGAAAAACAATGTCTTGAAGCTAGGATGTTTTCAGACCAACGACAAGTTACCGCAACATTACAAATGTTTATCGTTCTGAATCACACATTCATATTCACTCTCTTCTTTCACTCCTGGAATTCTTCAATTTCCTGAATCGACTGCGGGGTGTTGACAGAAGGGTGATGACAAGCAGTCGTCAATTCTTTTACGCCCGTTGTAGTCACAACGACAGGTATAGGTGGGGAATTGCTCAGTGTGTGAGGCACAGAGGTCTCGTAACTAATAAACCTGAATCACCATTATCACAAAATAATAGAACCTGATAATATACTCACTGTGTACAGTGCTCAACAAATCTCTTTCAATATATTTTATTAGACAATCATTCACCAAGTGATCTCCTATTCAATTTAGTCATTACATCTCATCGGTCGATGTCAGTCGCTGTCAAATTCTCGTAGGATTCTCGATTTGTATGTTAGAATATGGCGGGGATAAGAGGTAACCTGCGGGGGGATTGATTTTTATTTTTAGGTCTTGGAAAAATTGGGATAAGGGATAGTGTTTATAATTATGTTCATGTTAAAATTACAACAACAAATGAATTGTATTCTAATTAGAACAAATGTTCACTAGTAACTACAATGACACAGGTTTGAACCGGATATATTACTACATTTTTTCCATGCTCAAACTACTATCGGGAGTTCGTTAATTTTCCCTCAAGACACCTTTAGACACTCTTTGGGTCCGCCCCTGCCTAGGATTGCGAGATTCTAATAATAGCCGATGATTAAACGAGCTTTCGGGTTATTAATCCAACGTGCATCGAAACGGAAAAAAGGTTTTTTGAACATTGTGAGCGCCAATGAGGAGACCATAGGATCATACAATGGTCGGAACCAATATCATTCAAGTGGAATACCGTAGAGTTTGAGAATATGTTCAGAATGTCATGGGAAGATAAATATGTCTAAACGAGTTTCAATCAACATATAACTGTTTTGGTGATTTGAAAGAGTAAAAGGGCGACCCTGAAACACATAAATACATCACATAAATAATCCATGTATTGTTTCTGCTAAAAAATAAAAAAAATTGATGCATTCTAAATAATATATGTATAGTAACAATCTCGTCAAAACAATCGTAACTTCCAAACGACCCATAAGAATAGGATTATAGGAAGAATGAGTTTGATAAAGAAGAGGAAAGTTGTGGGCTTTTAGGAGAATATGAGGTACGAGTTCAAGTATTTAAACCTTAACACTTAAGTATCTAAAATTATTAATGATTCTTAGATTAATGTAGATAGTAAATAGGTAATTAGAAATTTTAAATTTTTTTAATCTCATTAACGCAATTTAAATAATAGCACAAGCCCTAAAGGGTCCTTCTAATCCTACTCAATATTAAATTTTACCGTGAGAATTAGGGGTATCATATTATACATGCACATACTTATAATACACATGTATGAGACTCAAGTATTCCAGACGACCCTTAGAAATAACTAGTTTTTTACCCGATCACCTGGCCGGAGAAATTCATTTTATTATTTATATTAGTTAACTTATCTACATGTTTGAACTTTTTAGATTTTGTATACATTTTATGCTCTCGCTTCATAACTGAATATGTGGTATGCCTATATCAAATTCTTAATATATAATAGTTAGCACACTCGCTTGTGATGTTTTTATTCTCCAATCATAAATCATGTCGTAAAAGTTTATCACGTCCCATTTAGGATTGTATATAAATTTTTTCCCACCAAGACGCTCAAATTTATTATCTTATACAACATATATCAATTCATGATTCTCGAGTTTGTACGAACTCTTAGCCAATTAATCAGAGTTCAAATTATTGGAAAAAAATACTTGATTAGTGGATACATTATGTTTATCCCAATTGAAATTTGACACACATAGTATCCCTTATAATGATTAAATTCTCTAAATCTCGCTCATTTTTATTGTTGATGTTCATGAAGTCTTTGTATAACAACTTATGACAATTTTTCTATCAAGATACAAATTATTATTATGTTACAATATATATCAATTGCTAATATTTTAAGTTTGGACTAACCCTCAACCCATGCCTTTTGTCTAGATGTTCGTTTAGAATTTGAATCCAAGGCATTCATATACGCTATCGAAGGTTCTCATCTTAACATGTTCTTTCAATGTATAAATTTTCAACTATTTGAATGTCCATTCGCTAAAATTTCCTTATATTTGGTGTTTGTTCTAGAACAAAAATTTCATTACTAATATTAATAATTGGTAAAGTGTGTATACGACAGACAAATATTTCAGGTGCATTCAAAATTATGTATTCCTTGAATAATTAACTTATATTTTTTTAAAAAATATTTTGTAGCAAAATTTAAAAGTTCATACAAACATTGTGGCTTTTCACATGTATATAAATTATTGGATGTATTGTAGACTCATCTATTGTTAATATACAAACATATATATACAGAGAGTTTATTTTACTTTCAACACTAATTAATACCTTTGAACCCAGCTCCTTGGGTAGAATATCAATTTTGATTATTATTGCTAAAATTTGGTATGAAATCACAGACTCGCAACTATATAGACTTGTTACAATTTTCTTACTAAACTCATATTTATTAAATATTCTTCTTTTGACCCAATAGCTCGGTTTAGACTATTGTAACTATAAATGTTTTTTTGTTATATATGTGAAGTAAAACATTAATTTTTATTTATTACCTCAATCTTCGAATTTAGAATTTTCTTAGCATGAAATGTGATGTCTAACGTACATCCTTAACAAAGATTTCTTTAAATTTCACACATTTCATTTTTCAAGGGATCTCGTGTCTCATCCTAGAATATGAAGTCAAAGTTCATCAACTATTATACTCAAGTCATTTTGGAAACTTCAATTTATAATCTTTAACAATTAATAACTCCAAGTCTAAAAAGAAAATTTCTTAGCATATGATGTAAGACCTCAATAGAGCTTGCTTAATCAACATGACCTAGAGAAAATATTAGTAGTGTACTTAGGATACATGTTTGAACTTTTTGGATCTTGTATACATTTTCTGCTCTCGCTTCATAAGTGAATATATGGTATGCCTATATCGAAAATTCTTAATATTTAATAGTTAGCACACTCGCTTGTGATGTTTTTATTCTCTGATCATAAATCATGTCGTAAAGGTTTATCACGTCCCATTTAGGATTGTATATAAAAAATTTCCCACCAAGACGCTCAAATTTATTATCTTATACAACATATGTCAATTCATGATTCTCGAGTTTGTACGAACTCTCGGCCAATTAATAAGAGTTCAAATTATTGGAAAAAGATACTTGATTACTCGATAAATTTAGGTTTATCCCAATTGAAATTTGACACACATCGTATCCCTTGTAATGATTAAATTCTCTAAACCTCACTCATTTTTATTGTTGATGTTCATGATGTCTTTGTATATCAACTTATGACAATTTTTCTATCAAGATACAAATTATTATTATGTTACAATGTATATCAATTGCTAATATTTTAAGTTTGGACTAACCCTCAACCCATGCCTTTTGTCTAGATGTTCGTTAAGAATCTGAATCCAAAGCATTCATATACACTATCGAAGGTTCTCATCTTAACATGTTCATTCAATGTATAATTTTTCAACCATTTGAATGTCCATTCGCTAAAATTTCTTTATATTTGGTGTTTGTTCTAGAACAAAAAATTCATTACTTATATTAATAATTGGTAAAGTGTGTATACGACAGACAAATATTTCAGGTGCATTCAAAATTATGTATTCCTTGAATAATTAACTTATAATTTTTTTAAAAATATTTTGTAGCAAAATTTAATATTTCATACAAACATTGTGACTTTTCACATGTATTTAAATTATTGGATGTATTATAGACACATATATTGTTAATATCTAAATATATATATATATATATCACCATATATATATATATATATATATATATATATATATATATATATATGGGTCACACTCGTATGCGTCAGACACATACTATGCGACAGGATTCTCTACACCGTAGATCTAATCTTACGGCGTTTATTAATTGGAATTAAATTATTTAATTTTTACAATTTTTAAATGATTAGTTGGTCCTATTACTTTTTTATGCGTACCCTTTAACCCCTAAACAAACTTTTCACATATTTTACAATTACACTACCAAATTTTATTCTAATCATGGCTCCAATCCATCACGTTACGCTGGGTGATCTATTCCTTTAGCCACTCGTCTCGCTCTCAACGCCCAGACCCCTTTCCCATTTGCTTTTTGTGGTGGCTGACGAACCCTCTCCTGTCATCATATTGTCGATTGAAGCAATTGCCCTTTGTGCTTCCCATCGCTGTCTACGGATTAAGGGAGTGATCTGTTCGAGAATTGAATCGTGTGCTCGAGAGGCGATGAGGAAGGGATGATTGGAGAATTGACCCGACGGTCTGATCGTCTCCAAACGAAATTGATGACGATGGCGACCAGGGGTACAAGATGATTTCATCGGGGTCATGAGATCCGTGACAGGAAAGACAGCGAGCTCTCAAAGACGTCGTCTCGCCGAAACCAGCACATCAGCTCTCTCTCGCTGATCTCCGTGTGTTGATCGCCAATGATGCGTCTAGATTCCTAAATCTGCTCTTCTCCATTTTCGCCTACCATGGAATTTGATATTTGATTGATGATTCGGGTTTCTGCCCCAATTTTTCCAATTCGATTCTCAACTCCGGTCACCTATGTAATCCCACCGCCGCCTCTATTATCCGACAACCCCACATCAACCAAACGAATATGATCAGTTTGGAGATAGGATAAATATGACCAGTCCCTCCGTCGTAAATCTATGTATCCTGTCCCTCCTTTCGCCATGGAGAAGAAGAAAGGAGGATGGAGATGGCGCGGGAGGCGGCAGCGGCCATTATTCAGTCGCCGCCGTCGATGTCCCCTTCCACAACTATGTTTCGTTCAGCTTCAAAGAGAAAGAGGGTAACGGAAAAGAGAGCTTGGCCCAAGGAAGAGATTGAGCCATCTAGGGCTGCATTTGTGAGAAGGAACGAGAGCATAAGAAGAAGGAAGAG